GAGCAAGTATATATACATTCGAAGATGCTGTTTAGAATAAAGACTTACCGTTGTAGCCGCCACGGTCTCGCAGACTTCACCGTAGATGGAATCGTGGTGCATCGCGCGTCCTAACCGTCGGCAACACACGCGCGACCATAACGGCTACGATTCGCGGAGTTGATGACCCGCTTCCTTCCCGTTCCCGCGTCTGGAAAACGAGCGGACGAGCGACACGAGGGACGACCGAGTCGTTCCGTTCTCGAGATTCGCCCGGTCCTTTCCTTTACCGACGCCGAGGACGCCCGGCCGTCGGCCGCTCGTTTCCGAGACGCGGGAACGAAGGTATACGCTCCGCGTCGCGCTGCTCCGCGCGACGATGTCCGGTAAACGGAGCGTCTAGAGCGCAGCGCGACGCGACGGGACGCCCCGAAGGGGTTACCGCTCTGTCTGTTGCCCGGGCAACAGACGACCGCCCCGAGAAGGTGAATGCCCTTAGCCGGCAATCCACAGCCGGCGCCGCCGCCGCCGCCGCTACTGCCGGGCGCGCGCACCGCAGCTGCACTCCTGGCGAGGCGAGGTGGCGAGCACCGCGAAATACCGTAGGATGCAATAACAGAGGATTTTCTCTCTCTCTCTCTCTCTCTCTCTCTCTCTCTTTCTCTCTCTCTTCGGCGCCTATTCGTACGAAGCTAATTCTCTGATTTTTGCAATGAGATTATGATAAGCGCGCAATGAGATTAGGGAATTGATCGTGTGTCTCTTAAACCGAGTTATTAATCAGTGAAATATGTGTATATGTATTATAAATACTACAAATATTGATTAAGTACACATACCATATACGTTTGCACGTATCGCCGAAAATAAATAATTCAAGGAAAGTCATCGCAGACAGTATCCGTATCAATTAAGTGTACAATGTACTTTATCTTTTTCTAATTTCAAAAATAAAAGGATCAAGCGAATAAATTATCATAAAAATGATAGTGGTGAAAAACATTAAATATTTTATCAGTATAAAGAACACAATTATCGAGAAGTCAAAAAATTTCAGAAGAAATATATGTACCTATTAGTTTAAAAATTCTAAAAAATAGAAACAGTCAATAATGATTACTTGATGTTTTGATATTAAATCAATATAGTATGTAGAGAGAAAAAGACTGAAATTTTCTTTTTAAAATGTTGCTAGTAGAGATAGTTTTCCTCGTAGAATATCATACGCGATTTATGATTTTATATTATATTTGTCTTACAATAAAATTCAAACTCATCCAATGGATAAACAGAACAATTAAAAGAAGAGAAATGGATGTTTTTCAAAAGTTACGTAAATCAAAACTATATATAATGCTCTATAGTATAAATTTCATAATATAAAATCGTTGACGATATATGTGTATATATATATATATTTTTTTTTAAATTATATAAAATATTTCTAATTAATTTTCTTTCTTTTATTTGTTCTTTTTTTTATTTTTTTTTTTATTCTTTTTTTCATAATGTAATATTTTTCCTAAAAGGATAAACAGAAGAAGAAGAAACGATCAATTGAAGAGTAATATATAATAAGATTAGAAATTTGAAAAAATGAGACAAGTAAACAATTGGTATTTGTCGTCGTTGTCCAGTAAACAATTGATATTTGTCGTCATTTCGACGTCAAAATGATATCTTTAATGTTTGTTCGACTTTCGATACGTCTGCATGTTCTGTATGAAAAAATGGAGGCGCCTAACGATAAAATTAGATTTAGGCCCTCGTATGATAAATAAATAAAAAAATTTTAGAACGGAGATAAATAATTAAAATTAGAACGAAGAAAAACATAATTAATGGTTTATGAAATCGAGTGTTGATTGCGCCAAGTCTGAAAATGCGTCTTGGTCGAAAATATTCCGAAATCACGTGGTTATCTCGCGGTCGCAAAAAAAGGCGCACGATTTTATAAAGTGGCCTTCACAATGTCGAAATCAAGTTCAGCAGTAGGATAAAGATACACGCATTATTGCCCTTGATCCATATACCGCGGTCTGTACGCTGCATACGCTTATGATACGACTATGGGATTTATATTAGATAAAGAGGAAATATAATAATGGGCATTCTAATACGCAACTGGACTTGTGAACAAAACCGACAGGGATATCTTTTTATGAGCACGATGTACGAAGTGTCGATTATCGGAGAAATGTTTGCGTGACATGAACGTAACGTAATATGCTCATTATTTAAGAGCAATTGTTGAATGTTGATAAGTGTATCTCGTACACTTATATATATATATATATATAATATATGTATATAGAATATTCGAGCTAATTCGCATTTTTATTATATAAAACGACTATTGAGAAATTGTTCGACGCGATCTCAATCGCTAATTTGTTTCTCTGTTCGCAAACGTGAAAATTAAAATAACTACGAAAGATATTTAACATATAATTATATGTATATGTTATATACATGTATAGAATATATATGATTATATATATATATATATTATCTATGTGAAATTTATAACATTATCTTTCATAACTCTTATCTTCGAATAAAGATTATAATGAAACAAATTTACACATTCTGTGAAATTATCACGTATTATTATGAAAATTACATATATTATAAAAATATATATGTAATATTGCAAACTTATTTAATTTTTATGTTTTAGATTTTCAATTTGGAATACGATATTGGGATCGTCGTTACTGACGATGCCATGGGGAATTACGATGGCCGGATTCTTTCCTGCAGTTATCCTCAACTTGCTGATGAGCGGTTTATGCTTATACACCGCTTATCGTCTCGTAGTTGCACATGCATATCATGGTAAAAGACTCTTCTATCATAAAATTGTAATTATTATAACGTGTGATGTAACTATAATAATAATATACTGTGATTAATTAGGTGGTGGATCAGATATAGAAGTTTTAGACTTGTGCCGGATATATCTCGGCAAATGGGCAGAACATATTGCTAGAATCTTTAGTATTGCCGTATTGCTGGGCGCAACTATAGCTTACTGGATATTAATGGCCAATTTCCTCTATAATAGTGTCAATTTTATTTACGGTAAATATTCTCATTCTAAACATAAATAAGATACGTGTCCTCGTGAACTATCTGGGAAAACAATATTCATATTGCAGATAGCATAGCTGGCGGGTCAACACATCCTGTGTCTGAGAACATTTCATACAAAGAAGGTATATATATATATATATATATATAGATGAAACAAAGTTTTAATTTATTCTTCGAGACCGAAGTAATTTTATTGCTTCGATTTATAGTTTTGTGCCCGAAAGAGTTCCAGGATAATAATACCATTGTAACTTATGAGAAAACGTATGATATGCTGGGACCAGCATGGGACTTACGAAACACAGTGCCTATGTTTTTGGCCTTACTAATATTTCCTCTTTTGAATTTTAACAGTACGACATTTTTTACAAAGTTTAATTCTCTCGGTAAGTATGTAAATGGTATATTAAATATATATATGCTTTTAATATCTTATCATATATACAATTCTGATAAAAAATCTGCTATTACGAGATATAAGCTTTTAATATATATCTTACAGGAACAGTGTCAGTTATGTATTTGATTATCTTCGTTGTGATAAAATCAGCGTCATGGGGCATCAACATGGACCAAGTCGAATGGGCAACAAGTTGGGTAATACGGCCCACGTTTCCCGCACTTACCGGATTGTTAGCCATGTCATTCTTCATCCACAATATTGTAATCAACATAATGCAAAATAATCGCAATCAAGAAAAGAATGTTAGTTACTGTAAATTGCATTTTTTTTTCTTGTATATCGTTCCCTTGCAAAGAGTAAATAGAAACGATTTTATTTTTAGGGAAGGGATTTAACCATAGCATATCTCCTCGTTACATTAACTTATATCATCGTTGGAGTAACGTTTTTTATGTGTTTCCCACTGCCCAAGTCGTGTATAGAAGATGTAAGTACGCACAATATCTTTCTATTCAAACGATAAAATATTTAATATGATATAAAAAAAATTTGTGTTTTCTAAACTAGATCTTATTTTATTGTAGAACCTACTAAATAATTTTCAAAAGTGGGATGGCCTTACGATAGGTGCTCGTATAGTGCTACTTTTTCAATTAATAACTGTCTATCCTTTGCTCGCGTATGTGTTACGTATTCAGTTGCTCTCATGGTTATGGAAAAAAGCATCTAACAGAGGCTTAGTGCTCTTCATTAATCTCATATTGGTTTCTATATGTATCATTTTCGCAACGTTTGTACCTTACATCGGCACTATTGTCAGATATACTGGCGCTCTAAGTGGACTTATCTACGTTTTTACTTTCCCGAATTTATTGCATTTATCCATTTTGAAGAGAGAAGGAAAGTTAGGTGTATGTTCGATATTATTCCATTTAGCTATACCTGTTATCGGACTTTTAAATCTCATTGCTCAGTTCTTTATTACAGATCATTAATCGTAATTAAAATCTTATAGACTGTGTATATGCGATTGTATTTATAATACTTAATATGTATTTATGTATCTATAATAATACTTACTATTAATTATTTATAAATGCCATTGCGTACATCATTATGCATTTTGAAAGAATCCTCTATAGTGTTCAAAAATTATATTTAAAAAAGTAGATTTAAATATAAAAGGTAAAAAAACGTTAGGTGTAAAATGCATGTTAGGTGTAAATTGCATTGAATAGTCTGTTATAAGAAATTTTTATGAGTTGAAAAGTGTATTAAAATTTAAGATCGCATGATAGAGATTACATAAATAGGTCAACTATTTTGTAAATGTAATAAACATCATTTATTTAATTATTCGTGGCACATTAATCTAGGAATAATACAGATTTATTTTCTTACTGTAAATACAAAGATCGTTAATGTTATACGTTTTTTGTACTTCAATAAACACACAATAATATTAAATGCACAACATTTATTTTCTATATATATAATTTAATTAATCTAAATAGATGTCCTTGTTACCTCAAATTCAGCTCTAGGATATCTTGTAAATCCAAACGGTGTCAACTCCATGTCCAATCGTCATAACAGGATGCGTATTAGGAAGAGAAAATCTACATGCGATTACGAGGCAATCTTTTCGCAATTCGTTATTAAACTTTTTTTCGATATCTTCCATCTGTAAAAGATGATTTCTTGATACATTTTGTTTTTTTGTCAAGAGTCAGGATGAATATTAAGATAGCAGCACACAAAGCTTGTTTTCCTGCTGAATTGCTAGCTAGATTAGAATCTTGCCACAGTATTGACTGTGATGCTGACAATGTCAATATCGCATCCAATCCAATGGCAAGAATCTAATCCAGCTAGCAATCCAACAGGAAAATAAGCATGGTGTGCCGCTGGCTTTACGCAGAAAAACGTACCATTTGATCTACGCCAAATATAACGACGTTATCATATTTTCCTAAGTGATGTTTCCATAAATCCTGTTTGTGAAACGCAGTAACCTTCGACAGACCGTTAATCACTGCTTGAAGCCTCGAATACCATACTAGCCAGGTATTTAATTCGATACCGTGGGCTTTAAAGCCACGCTTTGCCGCTGCGAGGACCTATTTATAAATTATTTCGTTTGTTGCAATCGTTGGAAGAGTGAAAAGTTATCCCTGTTTTGTATTTTACAGCATACATTTCTTGCGTATAGGATTATCAATCGCATTAAATGTTACGCATTATCAGTAATTATTAATCTATAATTACATTTTAAATTATTATTAATAAAATTATAATTTTTAAAAGTATACAGATAGGCTGCTTTTCTTTTAGGAGACTTCGTATACTTTTCAGCAAGGGGCACAGATGATGCAATGTAACACAGAGAATTATTACATCCTTATTGTTTGTCAATATTAAACAAAGCTGAAATGATCACTGTAGATGTACAGCTGAATTAGTGGTAATATACTTTTAGAACTTAAAGTGAATCAGATACATATTTGGTATTTGGCAATAACAAGAAAGAAGGTGTTCTAATTCATATAGGAATCAAAAACATATTTCCGTCTCTTTCTGGAAAGTACTCAGTGTATTGTTTGTGTGTCTCTTGCTGAAAAGCACTCAAAGTATTCTGAAAGAAAAGTTGATATAAACATTTTGTTTTCCTTGACATTTAATGAATAGCGAAGATAAAATGACAATTATGTCTATTAAAAAAAGAATAGCCTCTTAATATATTATTATATAGATACTCTTTGTTTGTGATTCGGTAACTCGCGTGATTCGCGATTATCAGGATGCGGTAGCGTCTCCTGTCAAGTATATTTTTGAAGTTTAGTTTATACTTACAATACGTCCGTCGCCGCTGCCGAGATCGATCAAGGAGCCGGAACGATCGTTTAACGCTCGAATAACATTTTTTATTTGTTGACGCGTGGCTGGCACGTACGGCAAACATATCTTGCGAAACGCAGGGCTGACAAATGGATAACACACGACGCTAATCGCCGTCGCAATCCCGCCTGGCGGCACAGAAAGAGACCAGCTTATTAAAATCAGCGCAACTGATTAATTTTAATTCAATAATAAAAACAATATTAACAAACCTGTAGCTGCAATAAAAAATAAGCCGATCTTCGACGGTTTTCGTATCTTGATAGGAACTTCCATATCGATAGACATGTCCTGTCAATGTGACTTGTTTACATTGTAAGAAATAAACTAATCTTCGACGGGCTGTGTAGCTTCGCGGCAAGGCGGTGGCTTGCTAACACGAACTACTACGAGGCCTCGATTGGAACAGCTCTTACAAAAGTCATTTTATGACTGAATTTTATGTACCAGACACACTCACATACAGTTGTTTGTTAATTTCATCCTTATTTGGTTTCGTGGGTTTCCAGCTTCCACGTGCTAGCAGAAATCAAGACTAACCTAATCTAAATCAGGCTGGCTATGTTGAGGCGTAAGCAATATAGGTTATCATCAGATAGCAGACACAAGTCTTGTTTACGGCTCGTTTACGTAATAGGTACGTATATCATGAATACTTTTTATTCCAATTTATCTGTGTGTAGAACAACGCACGTGTTTACGTATATTTTTTTAGGAACAGCTTCGTGAGACATTCTCACTCATTCTCACTGCATATTAATACATTCCAGACGGCATGGCAAAGAATTTGAGTGCAAAAATCGGCCCATCGATTTTAAACAGCAACCTGGCGCAAATTTACGAAGAATCGCAAAAGCTATTAGACAATGGCGCTGATTTCTTGCACCTAGACGTGATGGACGGTCACTTTGTTCCAAATCTAACGTTCGGTCATCCGATCGTCAAGTGTCTTCGTAGTAAAATAAAAGACGCTTTCTTGGAGACACATATGATGGTGTCCAAACCAGAACAGGTAGATATATGTTAGTCGCAAATTAAACGAAATTATTATCCAGAAACATTTTAAATTTTATAAATCAAGGGTCGTATTTAGAACGCGTTTTTATCTGTAAAAGTGCGCTTTTTCTCTGAAATTCTGTAGTATGGGTGACATAAACTACAGCATATAATGCGCTGTTATAAACGCGTTTTGAATACAGGCCTAATAATTTATTATAAAATGAGGTAACTTATAGATCAATAATTAAGAATTGTAGGGCTTGTAACTTCTCAAATAGCAACGTGTCTGTCTTGTTGCTAGGATGCTTGTTATGTATTGCTAATGTCTTGCTAGCAGAATTGCAGCAACTGAGTCCTCATTTGTTGGCAACTTGATGCCTTCACGATATGACAACTTTGAGTAGAATTGCTAGTAATTTGACTTTAAAATCATCATCAAAATTTGTACTATTGTAATAGCATTGTGTTGCTATAATAATATGCAGCATTACACAATGCTAGCTGTTACCGGCAATGCAAGGTAACATGCATTGCAGCTATCTTGCTGTTAAATTGCTGGCAATACATATACATATTATTGCTTGCATGTGTTACAATCAATGTGTTGATATATTTGAAATCTTTGAAGAAATCTATGGTAATTTATCTAGATTATAGATTTGTGTAATTTTATTGATTGTGAGAAACGTTTTGCTATCTGGGAAGCTGTCAAAAATATGTAAATAAGCATTCCAGTCATAAGTGGTTGCAAGTCTAATGAGTTACAAGCCTTACAATTCTGTTTAGAATTTACCCTAAAAATTTGGTCAAAATTTTTAAAAACAGTCAATGTCCAAAATCAGAACATAAAATGTCTCAAAATATCATATTTTTGAAACATGTTAAGATTTTGACATGCGTGCTGTATTGTTAAAATTTAGGCCAAAATAAAAACTCTTATTTTATTGAAATAATTACAGTGGATCGAACCCATGGCCGACGCTGGTGTAGATCAGTATACATTTCATGTGGAGCCAGTAGAGGATGTTCCTTTAGTTTGCAGAAAAGTGAGGGAAGCAGGAATGAAGGTTAGTACTGTGTTTACAAAAATTAATATTACTACATTTAATTAACGGAATCAATTTAAAAACAGGTTGGTGTGGCACTCAAGCCAGGAACACCTGTAGATGTGGTGACAGATTATGCGGATTTAGCAGACATGATTTTAGTGATGACTGTAGAACCTGGTTTTGGTGGACAGAAATTTATGGAATCAATGTTAAAGAAAGTGACATGGTTAAGAGAAAACTATCCTGAACTAGATGTCGAAGTTGACGGTGGAGTTGGATTAACTACAATTGAAGCTTGTGCAAAGGTATGTTGTCAAGGATTACATAACTTGTTAAAGATTACTGCAATGTGTAACTAATTCAATCAAGCGTTGGCATGCAAAATTATAATACTAAACTCAGTCATTCATACTCTACACTAGATTAATATACATTAAAAAGGCTGTTATACACATAAAGTGTCTAAATGCAATGGCATAATATAATTAATCTTGATAAAACTTGATTCTATTAATTAAACGTAATAATATTAACAAATATTAATTTTTGTAAACAGTACCAACCTTTATTCCTACTTCCTTCATTTTCCTACAAACTAAAAGAACATCCTGTACTAGCTCCATGTGAAATGTTGAGCTACACCAGCATTGGCCATGGGTTCAATTCAATGTAATTATTTCAATTACCATAAGATAATACATACATTTTCTGTTAAATAATGTAATATTATTTAATCATATAAAGTATTTATAAATTTTTACAGTTAACATTACTAACTTTATGTATAGCAGCTTTTAGTGTAATAATCTAATCATCTAATGTATTGTGATTGAATTCACTATAATTTTCATGTTAATATTACTTTTTAGGCTGGTGCTAATATGATTGTGTCTGGCACATCTGTCATAAATGCTATTGATCAAGCCAAAGTAATAACTACTCTTAGAGACACAGTAAATTGCTATTTGGAACACAGTCATTCAACAACTCATGGCAACTGAGGGTACTGTAAATATACAAAGCATTTCTGCAATAAATTTAATATTTTATATATTATATATATGTAAAAAAAATAGATATGTATGTATACAAAGATTTGTATTTTTGATAAAATGAAAATTGTGATAAAATTTAATATGAGTTTATATGTAGAACAGATGTATTTATTTTATTTGGCTATTTCTTATCATTTATGCAACTATTATATTTCTAGAATTTTTTTAGCTACTAATTTAGTTCTCAATTCAGCTAGAGTCAAGAGAATAGCTTCCTCTGTTCTAATTGTTCGTGATCCTTGCTGTGGGCACATATTTATATATTTATCAAACACTAGAGATGGATCGTCGACATTTAAATGTGGATCCACATCTATGGCAGCTTCTAATCCAGTAAGACCTCCAAATACTATGAGACAGTGGTGATACTCTAAACTCTTTGCTTTTATCTCGTCGATCGATGTTCCCTTGTCAGATGTTCCAATCGTCAAATCATATCCTCCTTTATACTGACAATTCGTCAGCACTTCTGTTAAGTTGTTCGCTAGTTTGACATTGTAGCCCCAATAGGTACCAGTCTCTGCACGTGGCACATTAGGCGGTACAATAATACCTTTTATTTTCTTCCGATTTGACTGATCTGCTGGTATTTTCACCGTCACTCTTAACCCAGCCATCAGTATTTTATCCACATGAATCTCATTTAACAATCCTACATTCACTTGAGAACCTCTGCCGGTTTTTATGGGCTTATTGGTAACTATACCTTCTCGATATAAGAATTCGTCTTCCCGTCTCAGATGATGTGGTGCATCCAATGGGTTTAGCACACCTGCGTACTGCAAGTCCTTGTGAATCGGAAAGAAGTACTTTCTCAAATATTGTGGACACTCGAGATACTGCAGTATCCTGGCTAATTGTAGACACCCAGGCCTGGCCTCACCCAGCACATCGTCCTTCTTCACCTTCCGCTTCTCATCCTCTGTGATCTCGCCCTTGTCGTCGAATACTACGATCTCGTCCACCTTGTAGATACATGCAGCACGCGCAATCTGTCCCGCCAAGTAGGTACGCAGCTCCGGGGATTGTGCATTGTCGAGGATCGACCCAGGTACCGCTATGCTGATGGTACAAATGTCCCTTCGTTCGTACTTTGCATTGCTTTCTTCTCTATACTCCTGTTCCTCATTCTCTGCCTCTTTTTCGAGTTCTGCCTTCTTTATTTTCTTTGCCAATTTTTCTTCCTTCCGCTGTTTACGAAGTTCCTTCCGCTTATGATTATACTCCTTCCAATTCTTTACTTCAGGTTTTGCGGCCGACATTATTTCTTCTCAGGATACCGTTTCAGGGACAGTTTACGACATCGCAACATCTGCGGCCTATGCCATGTGAGACATGGATCATGCTTCTGTGTGACTAGTGGTCACGCTAGGCCGCCGACTGATGGCGCTAGTTGCGATGTCATTGCGGCGATCGCCACCAGAGGTCCAACGGGACTCGCGCCAATTCTCACAAGTATTCGAAGACCAAAAAACACATGTATAGTCCCAGGATGTCCATTTTCAGATTTCTCTCTGATGGAATAAAACTGTCGTTATTAATTCGTTATTTTTAATCATAAAATACTTTGAATCTTTATTTCAATAATCTTGTCAGAGGTAAGTACGAGGTAAAACAGTAAAACGTAGTTGTTGAACAACGTGCGAAGAGACGCCGATCGAAGACCTTTCTTTTTCTGATTCTGTATATCGAATATTGCAATGATTGATTGTCGCAACGTTTCGATACTTCGAGAATCGCAGTGGCGCGCTTCGATAGACTTTGAATTGTGTCAGTCAGGAGTAGTCAGCAAACCCGCTCTACAATTGTCTAAAAGTGAATCTTGCGGGTAAAAGATCTTATAAAATAATCAATCGTTTGTTATAATGTATTAAATTGCATGCGACTAGATGTGACGTAAAAAGAAATAGTTTTATTCCGCTGAACAGATTCGATTAAGAAACCATCGGTGCACCAAGTTAAGTACTTTAGGACGTACTTAGGATACTAAGGATGTGTAACGTCTTCATCGAGCAAATTCACATTTAACTTGCGACACATTTGAATTGCACAATATGGACACGTCACCGATTTCTCAACGTCACTGCAACTTGATTTAAATCCGCTTAGCTTTGCCAAAAGTGTCCACTCGTCAAATTACACCGAGAATTGAAGCATCTAACAATAAGTAGATCGAACCGAAGGTGCAGTGCAATAAAACTGTTGGCATGTGGAAAACTGAACGTAAGTATATATGTGAGTGTATGTATTTATGATCATTTTAACGAAGTATTATATTTCTTAAAAGTTTTAGTTTTATGAAAGATAGGAGAGAGAGAGTTCTTAGAATTTAACTATATATTTAAATATATACATATAATGTATATATACTCATATAATGTATAATACTCTCTCTCTCTCTCTATTTATCTTTCTATTATATGTATATATAACGTATAAAAGGATACAAAATCTTCATAAAAATTTTCTTTGGTTTCTGCATGATATGATTACAAAGATTTATGTTAAAATAATATTTATATGAAATAATGGAATTATTTATATATATATATTATATAATAGCAAGGTAATGTTAAATGACGTCTTAATGATATTTTCAATGTCAATTGAATATTACTGAAAAATCATTTAACTGTTTGAAAATATCCAAAATCGCTAAAATTGCTATACAATAGAATAATATATATTGTGGCCTATAATCAAAAAATTAATGATTGACTAAAGAATAATAAATAGTTTATTTCTCTATTTACATTATTATCGCAAACGTTCTGACTTACAAAGTTTTCCTCAATGCTCGTAAAATAAGTGCACTATTTTTGCATCCTATTCAATCCCTATATAAACTAACGACGAATTACATACTAAAACAGGTACTCTGATTAATTTCAAGTGTCTACAAGTTTTTAAATATAGGAGATCGGAATAAATGTTGACGGAATGATGACTTCGATTTTTTTAAAAAGCGCTTAAACAATAGAATTAATCAGAGTGACTTTTTTAGTATATAATTCATTAGTTTATAAAGGAAATAGGGTGATAATTATTTGCGAGCCCTGAAAAAGACTTTTGTAAGCCGAAACGTTTACAATAATGTAAATAAACAAATAAATTATTTGTTATTCTTTAAATCAAGTATTAATTGCTTGAATATAGGCCCCACAATATTATTCTGATAGAAAATATTTATGATAAAAATAATAATAGTTGCTCAAATAGTATTTTGTTAATAAATACTATTTATAAAACAATAATATATATGATACATTACTCAACAAAATTAAAGGATCATTTGTTCCACCCTGCAAAAATAGGCAAACTTTGAGATAGAATAACTTCGTCAAAAATCATCGTATCGAGATGTTTAAAAAAGCATTTTAAAGCTTGAAATCTCTACTTTTCAGACCTGTACTTGAGAAAACGGTCTTACTGATATTTCGTGAAGTTGCACAATCATAAATAAAAGTGTGTCAAACCTAAAAATTTTTTACAAAATTTGACAAGTTCCACGGAGTCAAGTAAAAATCGTGCATAAATGCGGTTTACAGCTTTCGAAAGAGAGAATCTTTACCTTTAATTTGTTTTTTTTGTTGAGCTCTGTACGACTTTTTTTCACCGAGTTATTCAACGTTGAAGTGAAGAGGCCATTTTTACCTAAATGTTAAATAACTATGGAACTTGTCAAATTTTGTAAAAAATTTTTAGGTTTAACACACTTTTATTTATGATTGTGCAACTTCACGAAATATCAGTAAGACCGTTTTTTCAAGTACAGGTCTGAAAAGTAGAGATTTCAAGCTTTAAAATGCTTTTTTAAATCTCGATACGATGATTTTTGACGAAGTTATTCTATCTCAAAGTTTGCCTATTTTTGCAGGGTGGAACAAGTGATCGTTTAATTTTGTGGAGTAGTGTACTATATTTAAATGAAAAATTAAAAAAATTCCTAGATTATAGCGAAGACAGACTTCCTTTCTTGGATGAAGACAAAAACAAGATCATTGATGTATACGTTGAAGATCCGATTCGGAACATTCGACACCACAGCCTAATGCTTAAGGGCACTGCGAACCAATTAAGGAGATGGCCGAACGATGTTTGCAATTCGTTTACAGCAATGTGTTTCGTTCTTCTCAGTTTTACTTTTTTTGCCTTTGTGACGGCGATATTTTGTTTACCCATAATGAACGATGACAATAATTGCTGGTACTAATAATTATTGTTATTAATAATTATAATTTAATGAATTAATACTTTTAAGAAAATCACTGAATAAAGAAATAAAATTTTTACTTAATAAGATAAATAAGGCGAATAAATATAATTTAATTAATTTTTTAATTAATATGATATTTTTAATTTATACTGAATGTTTTCAATTAATATTTCGTATATTAATTAATTTTTTGAATTTACGTAAAAATATAATATATTTAATAATGGAATAATGTGATTTCTTTTTAATCAAGAAATATACACATTATTATAATTTATTATTCAAGTACTGAATTGAAGATTTCCGATGATGAATGTTCCTTTAATGTCTATTTCGTGAAGGAAGCTGCACAAGTCTGGTCTAGAAAAGAATTCTGTTATATCGAGACTGCGGCCAGAGAACAACCAAACCTGAATGTATATCAAAATTTTATAATAATTTAATTTACATTTTATATACACCTTGATAGCAAAATGTTGCCAATTTATGCGTAAATTGGCAGCAATCTCGATCAGATTTTGGCTACAAAACCGTAGCCATCTGCATCCGCACTTGGCTATGGATTTGACGACAACATTTACTGATATGTTTTGCAACAGATTTGTAGCAAAAACCGAGCAGAGTTTGCTGACATGATCTGATAGCAGATTACGAGCAGAGTCTGCTGACAAAAGTTGATAAAATAACGCTGACAGTGTGTTCCCCGAACGCACTCAGCGGTTAGATTACACGCACAAGTCAAAATAGACATTTAAATTTTAAATAACTATAGGTAAGCGCAGACTCTGTTTGTTTTCTGCCACCAATCTGTCTTCAACTTCTGTCAGCAGATCTGCTCGTAATCTGGGCTCATATTCTGTATACGTCTCCCAACATTTGTAGGTATGTTGATAATTAACGATAGCCAAAAGCAAGGACTGTTCTAGAAGAAAAGTGGGGTTCTTATTGGCTATCGCTCTACTGAACGACACTGACAACTGTCAGTAGACGTGTACAGGGCCCTGCTGTCAGATCTTGTCAGCAGAGTCTACTCGGTTTTTGCTACCAATCTGCTGCAAAATATCATATAACAGCAGACGTTTTCAGCAGTTTGGCAATTTGCTGACAATATCTGATAATACAGACTCTGTCTACAATTTGTTACCAATCTGTTATCAAAAATTGTCAGCAGGCTCTGCTCCAAATCTGTTTCCGCAGGCTTTGCTATCAGGGCAAATAACTAAATAATTTTTAATGTTATTCTTTTAATATAAATATTTGAAAATTATTACATTTAACTTTTTGGACGAATAATAGATTAGATTTTAGATCTTAGATTTTATCATCTCGTTTCTTTTTTTTTATTTAAATGAAACTAAAATATAATCTTAATTATAAGAATAATTACAGTTAATTTTTTATAGATATATTTAATCAATTTGATGCGTACCTCCAGTACACCAAACACATCGGAAATTTATCTCAAAATGGCTCTGGCTTCCCAAAATGCCAATATTCACATTGCCGAATTATTGATTGACAAATTTTTCAGCAAGTAATAAAAATAAGATTATTAAACATAATAATAATTAATATTTAGAATTATACACATATATTTTTTAAGCATTTTTATGTTTTAACGTATACTGTGTTTAATAATTCTGAAAAATAATTCTTAGAGTACTATATTTTTTAATAGAATAAAACGTGATAAATTAATATAATATAATGTCACATATTATCACTTTACGAATTCTTTTGCTTATTTAAAATTAAATTGTTTTTTGTTTATTTTGATTCTTTAATAAAAGAAATTATATTTTGATATCATATTTATATTCGTCAGAACGGAATTATCGAGTATCGCAAGAAATTTAAACAATGAATTATTGCTGATGGCGGCGAGAGCGTATCTGCTTTGGAACTTCCCCGGCGTTGCAATGCATCCGAGCGCATATTGCAATTTATCAGTTATCAATAAATCTCGGTGGAAGTAAGTAAATAAGTAAAAGCTTAAAGATAAATAATTAATATGATTTTCAGCGCTTCTATTTTATTTTTGTAGTAAAACGGGGAAACGAGATTGCATGCCGGACAAATTAGTTACGATCGACCCAATGATCGAATTACAAGCGACAGACGTGCATTGTCAAGCATTTCTAGGATTTGTAATACGGGAAATATCCAAGAATGCAACGCAAATGTATAGTTTGAAGGATGCATTGGATAAATTTTGTCCGAGGTAGACGTATACACACGAAAAGTATACCTAGAATGTTGTCATATATAATTGTGAACTCTTGCTTTTTTAGGATTGATAACTGTACCGAGGTGCGAGTACTTGATTTAAAATCGCAATGTTCGGTCAACGCTTTCGATTGTCCTACCGTCTATACGTCTAAAAAATCTTGGAAACTTACAATGTAATCCAAAAATTTATTTATAAATTATGCAATATATAATTTTCATTTCATGAAATTTAACATAATCTTTCTAAAATATATAAATATAAAAATAAATAAGAATTAATAAAATATCTGCAATGATTATATTTTGACGACGTGAAAAATGAACTTTTACGTTACGAAATTTAAAAACTATATGGTTTGGAAATAAACATTTTTTTAAGTTTTAAGAATCAACATATGTATGATTTGTTTGAAAAGATTTATAAGAAAAATGTGTATACAATATAGGAATACGAAATTCGGACAATAATCAGAAACATAAATTTTTATCGATTTTCATTGTTCTGATGTTTATCATCATTATTTAGTATAATTGAATTTCGGTGTTCATAGAGCCACACAATATCCAGCCATGTCCATACTTCTGTCGCTAAATACAAAAAAAATGACATATATATAAGTATTTATTATGTATAAAAACAAGTAAAAATAACAATAAACTGTATAAAATAAATAACAAATAGATGAGACAGATCTTAAATACATAATATAATCTTTTTTTATTGAATATTTTCTAAATTTATAAAATACAGCTTGAAAGAAAAGATTGACTGCTACAGTCTATTAAAAATGGTATGCCATATTTTACCATCTTAATTTGCTGCAGCAGCTAATCTTTTCTTTCAGTGTATTAAAGATAATTTGTTTATTTTATTGTGTACAGAAGAGATATGTTTCTTCGTAAAAAAAGTGAAAAGGGGATAAAAATATTTACAGAGCAAGAGAAGAAATCCTGCAGCATAAAATAACGCGGTTTGTATTTGTAGATATTTGAAAAAATACCAGATCATTATGATCACATCACAGAAATCGCACACTAGTTCAGCTAAAAAGAAGCTTATGAAAGGAAAACTAAGTTGCGGCCGCTTCTAAAATACATAATAATCAAGAATCATAAAATGAAACTAAAGCATAGAAAAAACTAGGTATATCACTTGATAATAATTTTGTTTACCATTAAAATGGAATAAATGAGCATGCCAACTGTAACTACAGATGGTATAGTGCGCGAGATGGAATAGCCGAAACTAAATGTCAAGACAGTCTTTCTAGAGGGAAAACCGCGAAGAATCTGTCCATTCTGCAAAACATTGTATTCCGTTGATCCGTAATAGCACAAAATCAATATTAATAATGCCAACGACATTGCTCTGACTATCTTGAAACCTTCATGGTAAAAAAACGTTTTCTTTTCCAGTGAGTTCTCATTTTTCTCAATTATTTGGGAATGATTCTGAAATAAATGAGATAATATTTTAGCTTCAATTAGCTGCAAGAAGATAAATAAAATCTTAAAAAAAAAATGTGTTTTTCAAAAAATTAAATAATATGAATATCGAATTTATATTGTTAAAAGAATACGAAGAACTTTTCATGCTTGAGGACAGTTTGATGAATCAATGACTTTTCTTTAACTTTTTTTTTTATGAAATTCGATTTATTATTTAACAGTTTTTTTTTAATATCACTGACTTGTCAAACTGTCCACGTATACATATATATTTCTATTTATAAAATAAATATTTTTACTTTAGCGCGAAACATACATATGCAACTAAAAATATAGATGTATCATATTTATAATATATATAAATACTATAATATAATGTACCGTTTTTAGACGTTTTTTCATTCTTTCTAGATAATCTTTAAGACTACCTTGAATACGACTTGATCGTTGACCCATTGTTATTGATAGATCACGTAAATGATTGATAAATTTGTTTTTATCCAAATGTATCAGTATATTTCAAAATGCACATACATTATATTGATTATGATTTATATTATTTTTTGAAATAATAAATAGCATACATATATAACGAAGAATATAGAAATTATGCAGCAAACTGATAAATTTGCAAAACAATATGATGAGGTAAAGATAAAAAAGTATTATAGAATGGAAAACCAATTAATCAATGTAATGTAATGACGATAAAAATAAAAAAATAGAATTACATAATCATTTTGTTATAATTGCAAAACTTCGCGTTATTGACTTCGATTTGTAATTTTGTGCAAATTGATAGTGGAATCGATTTTAAAAACTACAAGCTATTTTTATTAACATATTATACATATTTACGCAATTTATGTATTTATACGAAAAAATATTATGTGAAATAATTCTGTCAAAAATCTGTTTTTTTTTTTACATTAAAATGTTAAGTGTGTTTGATCAAATTGATTAGAATAATCGATTACATTAAATAAATACAGATTACATTAATCAAATTCACAAATATTAATTTATATAACTCATGTTTAAATTGCGATCTACTGAAAACGCATGAAGGTGCAATTTCATGGAGCGAAAAAGCAAACCTCTAAAATTTGTGAAAAGTAAACGTGCAAATATAATAAAATTTATTGAACATATCTGTTTTTAAACGGAACGTTTGAACTGTTTAACGTATTTGCATTTTAATTTGAAGAAGAGAAACAGTTTTTTCAGATTCAAAATATTGAGATATAAAGTGAATTATGGCTTTTCACAGTCGACGAAATTTTAGAGTCCATGGTGGACACTTAGTAATTAAATGTTTCTTACGATTTTCAAAAACAATTATTCTCGTTATAACAATAATAGTTTTCTTTTACAGAGAATCGGACGAATGGCCTGTTCCTTATGCAATAATTACGTAATGGGTAGCTCGTTATATGTGATTGTTTTGGGCCTTATTGGGACCGTTAGTCTATCGTAATATTCCCATTTTGCTAATTTAAAGATATATTTTATTAAAAAAGTGTACATTTAAGTACTATACATTATTAATAAAAAATTTCGCTAGGTAGTCACGGCTTTTGACATAATATGCACAATAAATTGTAAAATTCCCAGGATGTCATCACGCCGTAGGAACAATCAAGAAGGTTTATTTATTGTTTCATTAGATAGTATTTTGAATTAATTAAAAAATATTTTAACTATATACACTCAGACATCACACAATATTTATAAAATATTTATAAAATATTTGAAAATGTTTGTAAGATTTATTTCAAATATTTTGTGATCTTAGACTGCACTCTGATCATAAATATTTATTACAAATATTATAAAATATTTATTGCAAATGTTGTAGTAAATGCTATAAAAATGATGAATAAGACATTATAATTCAAGTAAAAAATATTTATTAGAAATGTTTATTTATAATTTATCATAAACATTACATAAAATATTAAATCTTTATTTTAATAATATTTTGAATAAAGTTTTGTATACAATATGTCTAAAATATTTATATAACATTTCAAAAAATGAATAGTAATAAATATTTATAATAAATATTCTGTGTTGTCTAGATCTATAGTCAAGATGTCAATAAATCATTGTAAACTGTTAAATGATAATTGCAGTGCCCTTTACTGTCGAGAGGGATTTGAAGTTAATGACATCAATCTTGGGAATCGAGCATTACACTTTAATTATGTTAGGCGCAATCACAGTAAGTAAAAAGTATTTTTTAGATACTTTTTAAAAAAAATTTAAAATAATTTAACATTATGTTTAAAAAATAACATTTATTTAAAAATATTATGAAAATTATATGATATTTTATAAATTTATATAAAAACTTAAAAACGCATTTGTTATTTCTAAATAAATAGCTTTGCTTTGGCAGGAATACCCTATGCTACACACACCGTGGTTACTCATGCAACTTTGTGTCATCATTGTGGAGATCATTGTCTTCTTTGTGAGATTCTTCCTAGATGGTTTGCACATCAAACGCAATGAAATATTGCAAGCAATGTTTATCTTATACAATTGGTTGCAAGTCTTCTGTCTTTTTCATCAGCAAACACGACAAGTTATTTAGAAATATTTCAGATTTTTTAATATTACGTTATACATTTATATTGTTTTAATATTTATATGCTATGAATTATATAACAATATAATTTTTATATAAATATGCGTAACTTTGAATTTTTATATAAGAAAGCTAATTCAGTTTTTTCTCAAAAATATTTGGCAGCAATTATAATAACATTGCGCGAAAGTAAAGATTTCTATTTAAATAAATTGAAACTTGATTTATGAACTAGATTGTGCGTAATATCTAAATATGTATAACAATTAGAATTATTTTATTTATTTAACTTTATTATATTACAGTTTATATAGAGAGATTTGGTGAACTCTATTTTATACAATATTTATAAAATTATTTTCCTTTAAATTAACCCTTTCTAAATTTAATTAGCAATATCGACAAGCTCATGAAAACGCTAATCCATATGAGAGTAGCGATAAAGCCATAATAAACCGATGGTTCTGATATCGTCCAACCTCTGGCCAGCATTGATCTCATTGAATCTGTGCTCTTCGTTAAGGGTAGTAAGAAACTAATATATTTTAAAAATGGATGCATGCCCTCTATGGGCCAAATAATGCCGCATAACATCACAATTGGAAGAAAAGAACCCATTGCCACATACGTAGCGCTCCTTTCATTGTCACAGAAACAGGCAATTACAAATCCTGAAAATTAAATTCGTGTTTTTAAACAATTTTTGAAAGAACAAAGTGTATATAATCGATAAATAACGTAGCGATGTTTTTACGTTCTTTTTGACAAGAGAACACTTTTCATAATTTCTTACATAAAATCTTCAATTTCTTGTTTTCACGTTTTTATAACAGAGTTGCTGTAACTTTATAATAATTACGAAATTTTAATAAAAATTAAGTGTATCTTTCTAAAAGAATTATATTATTCAAAAGTAATAATTATAAAGAATTTTATAAAAGAAAGTGCTATAATACTTTTGTGATTAAATATTTCACACAGCGATTTAGTATTAAGATAATGAATGGATTACCGAAGCACATGCCGCAAAGACCCGTAAGGGTGATCAATACGGTGATCCAACCAATATCGCCTTCGCAAGTGAGTTTAAAAATAGCAAATGAAACTATGAGGACCATCACAACTTGTCCGAACATTACCGTGAACTGTGTAATTACTTGACCAAAGAGAATCTCAATACCAGTGACACCTGTATATAATTACAAAATTAATTATTTATCAATTCCAAGATTTATTAATCTAAATTCCAGCAGATATATATTCTAAGATTTATCTATATCTCAATATATTAAGTATTAATTAAATTTAATATGTTTATATTAAATAAATATTAAAAAAATATTTTTTTAATATTGTATGCTGATTGGGATGATCCCAGACAGCACATAATATTTTAAAAATATTCTCTATGTTGTTTAGGATAGGATCGGAATATATCTTTTATTTATTACGGCTTTTAATATTTCTCTCTTTTTGTTTGTACAGACCTGACACAAGACTTCTTTCTAGCAAACCCTCATTTCTCTCTAGCAGCATGGCGCCCGACGTCAATGCGACTGAGAGAAAGAAAATAATTCTGAAAAAACACGAATTCTTTCAATGCTAACAAATTTTTCTTGAAAGAAGGCAATTTAATGTACATGTATATTACTGTATCATGTTGATATTAATATGTAAATACCTACGTTAGAATTACTCCGGGCGCTGCAAAATCTGTGAAGTTAGGATCTTGAGGTCCGAAGATTGGTGTTTTAAACTAACAAGATAATTATAACAACAGATATGAAATGTTATAAATAATAATTTACAATAATGTAAAAAAATAATTATAATATTAAAACGCTATGCATACAAAATTAGACAAAACTTTCTTATCTCTACTCCCATATAAGGCGTTCCACGTCAAACCGCATCTTTGAAACATAGTTTTTTTTATTTTTTTTAATTTACTGACGTATTCTATACAGATAAAAATATGAGACACGTGTGTCGCGAAAAAAATTTGAGATTTTTTTTGTAAAGTTATTTATGTTGATAAATTGCATAAATTCATAAAAAAACGTTGCTCACGCAAACATTTCGATTATTATATTATCGAAACCATTAATTATACAAAAAATGCTAAAGACGGTACTTAAAACATTTTTACAAAATTTTTAAGTTACCGTCTTATTTTTTTGTACGATTAATAGTTTCGATAATATAATAATCGAAATTTTCGCATTTTGATGATATAATAATTTGAATGTTCGCGTGAGCGAAGTCTTTTTTTATAAAGTTCTGCAGTTTACAAGCATGAACAACTTCATAAAAAATCTCGAAACTTTTTCGCGAAACATATACGTGTCTCATATTTTTATCTGTAGAATATGTCAGTAAATTAAAAAAAAATAAAGATGACAATATTTTAAAAGTGTTCAATTTAACGTGGAATGCCTTATATAGAGTTTAAAACTAGTTTAGTGTGGGGCCATTACTGATTGTCACATTTCACACCGACGCAGTACTTGTTGAATGATAATAGGGAGTTTTTGCAATACGGTGTATGCCAGATACGGTGAACACTGAAGTCATATTATCTTTTTTTTCATACCTAATTAAGTATTTATCTTCATACCTAATTAAGGTATTTATCTTCATACCTAATTAAGATATTGCAAAAACTCCCTAATAACTTAGACTTAGTACTGGACCTAGCTTAATTTTAGCCAGTCATTTGTCAGAGTTGGTTCAGTACCTGCTGACATTCTGCGTTGATTTTATTGTAACTGATGCTGACAATCCTGTATGAGCATATTATAATAGTATGAGCATATTATAATTGTTTACTTACGTTTATGGGTACGCTTGTTAACTTCTCACTGTAGTTGCAGGCTACAGTGATCTCCTTAGCGAAATCTTGAAATGCGTAAAAGAGATCCCTTTGTAATAACTGGCCTATTTGTTGATCTGCGAATATATATCGCGTTAGAATAGCACGCGTTTATATCAGGATTCTCAGATAAAAATTATGTAATCTTTATTAATTATCGAAAGATTTTTCAAGATTGAGTTTATTATAAGGCAACACTTAGAATGCCACTCAAAAACATGAAAAATTATTTTATTTGATTTCACGTTCAAAGACTTACTAGACATGTCCATGACAACTTCCATCTCCGCGAAATTAATGTCCCATTCTTCGGCATCTCTGCCGTAATCTATTCTTGCCATGAGAGCTTCGGAATAGTTAGATGGAAATGATACAGCGCCCCATGTCCATCCCTTTATCACTGCATTTCTAGCTTCTTCGTCACTGTTGTAGGGTAACAGCTGTATAGTTTTCTTCTGTAAGTGCTGAAGATATCGGCAGCTTAATAGCGTCCAATCGCATACGGTTCCAGGAGGAATGCACGGTTGCATACTATTGTTGAGTTCGTGGTTGACAACGGCTAATTTTAATCCTATGGGGTCCTTACCAATGGAGATGCAGAAGAGGATTATTTGGGCGACCGGTAAACCAATGATGAATAACATCATCCTGTAAGATGAAAAATTGCAATTAGAGACTAAACGAAGAAGTGAAAGAAAATTTAATATAGAAATGTGATTAAATGAATTTGATTATTACCCGACATTTCGCCACATCCACAAAAAGTTTTTCCAGATAAGAGCTTTCATGTGCATTGGATTAATAGTATGTTTGGAAGAATCACCCTTTTCTTCCGGTGGCAATGCTGAGACCTATTAAAAGACATGCAAGGATAAATAAAATCTATTTTTAGCACTTTTATATCAAATAATAGTATATAAACAAATATTTAAACTGATAAATAATTACTATAAAAATAATCATTAAATAGCGCTATTTTACAATTAATAAGTAATCATAAAGTGCTCTAGACGTAAATAGGAAATTATTACTCATACATTGCCATCATCCACAATGACTACACTTTTCCGTCGACTAGATATGCTCACATTATCTCCGAATTCGCCACTCATCTCATCTATTTCGTCCTAAAAATAAAGAGATATTAAAAAATATTTTAATAAGCTGTATTAAGAACAAATACTTAAACTGTTTCTCTAATCTTTAAAACATTTATTAAATTGTTTATGAGACGGAGATTAAAACACGGAATTATTTATGAGATATTCACGACTACGTTTGGTATAGGTGTTGAGAAGTAACGTACTATATGTGGTACGTATTTTCGGAATATTGCAAACTTTTAAGGGATGTTTGAATTAAGATATCTTCTGAACATTTACAATGTTCTAAAAATACCACACAACACTTTCCTATTGAAACGCATATCCAAATATAGTCGTCCTAAACAATTCTACGTTTAAATTTTATAAACAATTTAATGAATGTTTGAAAACTCAAATAAATCATCTATTTAATATTTAAGCAAACTTTTTATAAACTCTCAATAAACATACTATTTTTGTCAGATTTTTTTCAGAAAATCACGTCCCTGAATTAATTTTTACACAATACCAAAACATTTACTTTTATTTTCGAATTTAATTTTAGGGATTTCTTTCAAGGAATCATTTTACTTATGAGTGAAAAATCTCATAATACTACATCTTTTATTCTATTTTAATTATAAGTAATTTTTTATTGATAAACACTTAAATCTGTCGTGTTCATCTATATGTATAATTAGCGATGCCGCGTACAAACATAAGACATTATAAGTCTGTTTTGATGCACTCCGAAATCAAATTTTCAATCAGTGTGTGTTTCGAATGTTTTTAAACCATTTCTTATGAAATGTTTCATTTAATGACACAGTCTTAAATATTTTCATTATCATTTTTTAAGTGTATGTAAAATGTTTAGTTAACAGATGTTTGCCAGATGTTTGCAACGTGCTTTCAAACAGTATAATCATCAATCAAACTTTTTATAAACAGTGTAACCATTGATAAAACTCTTTATAAACAGATATAAATATAATTTCTCATTAACAATTTCATCAGGGCATATAAAAATATTACTTCTTTCCCAAAATATGTCCTTTGTATTTGTACTCACATCTTCTGGCGGAAGGCCTGTTACACTGCTTAGAATACTGCTTCTCCTTCTTAATCCCAGATTCTGCCTTTTGCTCAGCTTCAAAAAAACCTCTTCCAAAGTATCTAATCGATGCATTTCCATCAGTTTTGTCGGCGATTCCTCTGCCAGAAACTTACCGTTTCTCATTAAACCGATAATACCAGCTTGCCTGGACAATTCATATTTTTATAATTTTTTTAAAATTATTTATTTAAAAAATAAAATTTTTTATTATGTAACTTATATAATAATGTTTCTGGCATTAAAATGGAGTAACGAGTAACCTTAATACACGTAAAAAATATTTTGTTACTCCAGCTGGAATTAATTATCGCTGTATTTTGTGTCTACATAGAAAATTATGTATCATGAGCGTAGAATTTATTGCACAATATTTTAATAATATATGTAAGAAAATTTAAATCTCATAATCAAATCAATACGAATCATTGCTAAATATGAACCAGTCATTTGATTACTGAGAGACTTTCTTAACAAATTTGACAAATGGTTTAGATATAAATTCTGTCTTTGTCATTTATATTGATTACATTACAAAACATCCAATATCGCAGTGCTTTTGTTAGACATTTATCTATTTTAGCTAATTTTTCATATCTATTTATACGTAATTTTTCGCTACAATTGCGCGCGAGATCATTTTTTTCAGTGAATTGAACAATTGATGGAGAAATTCTGATTACATTAAAATGTTTTATAATTCTTTATTTCTTTTATTCTAGTTACGAGAATATAAAATTGACTAATTCAATTTATAGCGCTTCCTGTACAACTAATAAAACAAGGTTTGATTTAGTTTGTAAAGTGAAAGTCATGAAGTGAAAGTATCGAATGTATAAAATACTAATAAAATGTAATAAATATAATATTAGACGTAATATATTACTAAATGTAATAATTATATAGCAACTTGCCTAGTTTCTTCGATGTAATGCGTGGTAATGATAATGGTCTTGTTGCCATCCTTGGTGAGGTGCACTAAATGGTCCCAAATGCTTTGACGGAGAATGGGATCCACTCCGACTGTCGGTTCATCCAGAATCAAGAGTTCGGGCTCAGCTAAAATGGCAGCCGCGAAGGATACTCTTCTTTGCTGGCCACCTGAGAGATTCTTAACAAAACGATTTTCGGACGGTAGTTGTAAAAACTGTAATCAGAAAACGTAGAGAATAATATAAGTAAATAAAATATGTATAAATCAGAAAATAATATTGTGCCCCGATATGTATCTGTGATAAAGATATTTTCTTTCCTTTTTTTGGGAAAAATTCTAAATTCAAATATTTAGAAAATTAAAAAACTGGAAATTCTAGAAACTTTTTAAAAACTCTCTTTAAAATTCCGACTTCTCAGGAAATTTTTCACCTTGAGCAAAAAAATCAGCTTTTCATCTACTTCTTCTGTCGTCATACCGGCACACCAGCCGAAATAGATAAATGTTTCCCGAATGGAGAACTCGCCGTAAAGCGCAATCTCTTGCGGCATGTAACCGACCCGGGGACCGGGCACACCGGATCCTTTGGAACCTGGTCGGCCTCCCAACACCCATATTTCGCCAGAATTCAAACGTCTCCGACCAACGATGCACGACAGTAAAGTGGTTTTTCCGCAACCGCTCGCACCAAGTAGCCCATAACTATTATAATAAAACATATGTATTAAATCAACCAGAAAAAAAGAAAAAATTTTACATCGTCATAAATTACTTATTTAATAATCATTAACAATTAAAATTGTTATTATCTGAATACTATTATTTTTGAGCTCTTTATTCTTTAATTTATATTAATTATTTAAAAATTTAGGACTTTTCTGTATGCATAACTTAAATCTTCTTTGTATAAAGTAGCTATAAAAAACTTATTAATTACTTATCGTCATTGATTCATTACTATAAGTTGTTGACAGAAGATACTTGCATTGTGCCTTTCGGCACGGTCATATTGAGACCATCGAGAACGATATGAGGATTGTTTTTGGATCCATATTTCTTGAAGGCCCTCCTTACGCAAACAGCCTGTCTCCGTCTGGTGTCCAAGGTCGATACTTGCGACCGGAATGGCTGTCTTCGTGTTTTCATCTCCATCAGTGTGCTCGGTGTATTCGCACTCTCCATCTCTATATTTCAAAAAGAGGTAGGATCATATATTTCCAGTTGATTTTTTCATCCGTTTCTCTCCTCCTTTTTTTTATTTTTAATACTGAACACAGAATTAAAATAAGTCTAATATTTCTTCTTTGGCAACTGTATAATTTTGCATTTTTTCAATTGTCACATGTGATAAATTATGATACTATATGTGCGATCTACTACAGAACTTATCCGCGTAAGTTCAGAGTCTCCTGTTCTAGCAGGACCGGTCAGATAAGTGAGAGTGTTACGGCATTACATCACTGACAATTTACGAGACACCGATATATGCTGATCATGTGCTATATCAGTTATATGCATAAACAATTAATTTAACTATAGTTAAAAGAGATATGATACACTTGTCATTGAGAAAAATATATATAGTTGAAAAAAATGGACAAACTAGTGAAGTTTAATTATATCCAATCTTGACGACTGTATATAAAAAAAGCTATTTAATTAATAATATCTTTATAAGCAAAAATATTGTAATCTTGTTTCAAGGATTTTAATTTTGATTTGATTAAATTTGTATTGATGCAAGTATTACTTTTGCACTCTATTCAAGACTTGTTCAATAAAAAAAACTTACACTAATATAATTTTAATCAAACCAGGATTAAAATCTTTGAAGCAAAATTACAATTTTTGCGTGTATATTATAGTTGATAAGAATATAGTTTTTTTTCCGTGGAATTTTTTGATTTATATAATTAAAACCTAACTGGTTTGCTCAGTTTTAATAGAAAATTTTTTTAGTAACAGTTTTTCTTTAAGTTATTGCTATTTAAAATATGTATACTAAAATATATACATATATAATCAAGATATTATTGTTAAAAATAATCAAATGTCTTTATTGGAAGTGATAAAAGTCAATTAGTCCTCTTTATAACATTTCTTTTAAAAAGGATAACGCAGGCTTCTTTGCACTTGTTTATTTAATTTGTTTTTTGAAGAAATTGCGAATTTGATGATTCATTCACATTTCTAAATTGCAAGGCGTAACTTCTCGATTTGTTGAGAAATCGTTGCCTCATATCATTAATTAATTAGGTCATACTGTCAAAAGTTTTATCAGTATATCATTGCGTAGCAATCATCTTTGATATACTTCCGGTTCATGATATACATATACAATACTAATATAAAAAGACAATATTTTAATTTTACTTCTTTGCGTAGAAATTTACTTTTAATATATTTTTTTATTTAATTATAATTGAATGAGATAGACTATTATACACTAAATCATATTAAAAGTAATTTTTGTAGTTTTTTAAATTAAGTAAGCTAATATATTATATAAATATCACGTTCTTAGCTCGATTGAATAATATTTTTGTTGAGCGAAAATGAAAATAAATAAAGTTACTGTAAACAATTAAGGGAACGCTGGAGTGACCAAATTATTGACCTTACAGTTGTATAAAATCTCTGAAAACTGAATAAAAAATGTTTTTACAGAATTAAAGTAGACGCAAAATTAGGAGGTGTTGCAATAGACTAAAATCGAAAAACGTTAGAAATTTACTTAATTTTTTTTTATTTTCGTATAAAGTCCAATGCAGCATCTTTTGATTTTACGTCTACTTCAATCCTGTAAAGGGATTTTTTATTTCGTTTAGTCAATTCGAAGATTTTTATATGCCTGTAATATCAATAATTTGGTCAGTCCAGCATTCCCTTAAAACATAAACAATATAAATTTAATGAAATTGAAAAATCTTATATATTGTACTCAAGATTTTGAAGGCGTCGTAAAGTGTTAATATATTACATCAATGAATAATTGAAAAGGAAGCGACATCTGTTACAAAATCTGCGTTAACATATTATTACATCAAACATGTAACCGAAAAATATGAGCGATGAGTAAGCTACATGCTACGCAACGCCGTTGCTTTCACGTAATTTGCTCATTTCTTTACGCGAGAAAGAGAGATGTATTACGAAAGAGGAGGCCAGCGAAGAAAGACCGCCTAAGGTTACGTCCGATCGCTTTCCTTTCTTTCAACTCTCCCGTCGTCGTTTCTTCCTGATGAACTTGCTTACGTCGTTGTCAAACGAAATCCGTTTATCAAGCAGATTTATCAGTATTGCTGTAGAAAGATTGTTCTCCAAATTAACTTGAATTTGATATTTATGTAATAAATTGTGAATTAGATCATTATTATTTAATAATAAAATTTTAATCTTCATTGAAACATTTGTTGCTTTACTTTTCAAATTTATTTTATTTTACATTATTTTTACATTACTAGAAATTTTTTCGTAAAAATCTTTAGTTTATAAGAGTACCTAAATTATAATTCTTTAAATACTCATAATGTATAATCATATTTCAATTAATTTATGCGCGCGCGCGCGTGTGTGTGTGCGCGCGTAAATATATTTATTAAAATTTAAAAAATTTGAGCATGTATACTAATGATTAATTTAAATTGTATTAATATACAATTTTATGTAGACTAGATAAAATATTTCATTCTGTTATACAAGATATGCATAAGTAGATAAAAATATTCCACTCTGAACTTGACGCTCAAGTATTACAAAACCTTTTTTGTTATGTCGGTAATTTCCATTCCGGTCGACTTTATATCATTATAGGAAGAAAAAAATTGCCATTCAATGACAATCACAATCGTCAACTCCAATCGTAGAATCATTACAGAAATGCCAATCAAAGAAATCCTAATAATTTTACCTTATTTCTAAATAATGTTATTTCTTAATATTAATACTTATATAACATATAACATATGTATTCCTGCATATTAACCAATATTAATATATTACTAATTAAATGTACTTAACAAATATATTTTGTTTGTTCCATAAAATGACTCAGTAAGATTAATAATTATATAACAATAAAAGTATTTACCTGTACAATTTAAATAAAAAAATTTTAACTACAATGCTGCTTGCTAATTTCTGCGAATGAAATCTTGGAGAACGAGATCGGTCGACGTGAGGTTGACTGGCGAGCACCTTTGCACAATTCTTCGTTACTTAAGTCATATTTCCTTGTTTACATTACTCATATCTTCACACTTATTTGACTGTATTTGAGCATGTCCTTCTACAAATTGTAGAATATTCTCTCGACAATTTTCAATAAAAGTTTCTCAGAAAAATGTTTTTAAGTGTTCTATTCTTATAATTATCTTATTTACACTCTTCAGATTATATTTTCTTAATAAATATTCTCTTCACATAAGAAATTATTATAAATATATTTTTTAAGAATATATTTTATAGTAACACTTACTTTCTTTTGTATTATTTAATAATATTTTTAAACAATTTATTTTTGAGCACTTGTTCTTATTTCTTTTACAATTTTTTTTTAAGAAGTCCTCTACTGTTTGCACACAACTGGCCAACAATAATTATCCATAAATTAGATTATTAAATACATGTCAATAATTGATCACTGAAAATCGTTTAAAATAATCACTGATAATAAGTTTGAAATAACACGGTTAACGTTTCTTTTATGTCTTCAAGAATTCTTGTTCTTTCTTATACACATTTTGATTCTGATGTAACATGTTTGGTCGCAAACTATATTTTAAATTAAATTATAGATAAAAAGATTGTTTTTTTATATTTGTTATATTGTGTAAGTTTTTTTTTTATTTCTCTGAATTGATGCAAACAGTGCAATAAAAGGTGTTTATTTAAAGAAGCAAGATGTGATTTAGTTGCTAACATTTTCTCTTCAAATATAAGATTAATTTTAAAAATTATGATTTTTATTAACTAAATATATTAAACAATTAAATACTTAAGTAAAAATAAACAAACATTTCAACCCTAATTGAATCATTTCAATGTTGTTACAATAATTTAAAAAACAATAACTGAAATATTAATTAATACAATTAATCAGTGAAAAAATGCGTTTATATAATAATATGTGTCCTTTTAGCATTCTTACAGTAATTTGTTCTGTCTACATTACGTTAAACGTATATTTATTTTATTTCAACCTATTGCGCAGGAGTATCAAATTTTCAAATCGCTAAAAGATACAAGAGAGAGTAAAATTAATATTTAAAGATTAAAATTGTACTGTTTTTATAATTTTTAAATATATATAATTACTCGAGATCTTAAGAGATTCGGTTTGTCTAAGATCAAAATGTGAATGTTAAAAATTAAAGTGTAAATTCAATTCTATTATAAAAAATTCTCATAATATTGTGAAATTAAAGTTACAGTATATTAAAGTAAAAAATATAAAAACCCCGTTGTTATACACAAAAATTATTTTATTTTAAGATTATACGAAATTCGAAGAAAATCTGTTCATAAAATTTCTAGTTTGTTTTAAGCACGATTATAAATCGAACTTTAAAATAATATCAAACGTGTGCTCGCGAAATCTCGAAAAAGAGATTTAAAAACTATAAAAACGTTTATAAACTTCAAAACTTTTATGGAACCACTTTATTTAAAATGGCATTAAAATTAAGTTTTTGGTAATGTATTGCTTAAAATACTAGGAATTTCGCAAACAGATTTGTATCAGTTTAGAATCTAGAAACTGTAATATTCTATGTAAGAACTGTTCTAGATTTTTCATTGCAATATTGTTTTAAGCATAGATGCAAATATTCTGAGTGCCTTAGAGTTTCTTAAAAAAAATTTTGAACATGGCCGGAGACACTACTGCGTCTCCTGATATTTAAAATTTTTTATATTTCATGTTCATAAAACACTTATATCAAAGTAATTTTAAGATACATCAGATTTGCGTAAAGACACTATGTACCAATCACAATTGCGAGATTCCGTTTCGCGTACTTATCTCGCGCAGAAACCAACGGAAGATTGAAATCGAGAGTGCGACCAGGAAACTGAGAGGCCGTGCGAGAGTAAGAGTGGCCGCCTGACCGCGACGAGGCTCAGCGAGAACTGGCTCTGTGCTAAAACGCAGCAAGACCGTGCGGACAATCAAACACCTGCTTGTGCAATCATCCGTTTTGAGCAAAACAGTTTGCTTAAAAGGGAGGGGGTAAGCTTAATGCTTCTCCAATACGATTTAAACAAATCGTAGAAATGTTTAAAGTAATATCCAGATACGTTATGTCTAATATCGAGTTTTAGAAAATTCTCTTGGAAAACTAATAAGGAATTTCTTTTAGAGGAATATTACTCCAGAAATTATTCCTTCAGATATTACTTTTTTCAAAAATAGCTGACGAATCGCAACATAATTTTAAATTTCAGAAAATGTTGAATAAAATGCAGAAACGCATTTTGCAGATGGTATTTGATCAGATCCTTCTTGCAGCCTACATCCTATATTTGGTTCAAGGTAAAATGGACCGGTACGGAACCGGTCTATCCAGAAGGAAGTGATCCGCAATAATAATGTTTTGTTATACTAAAGATTTTTTTCTTTAAGATACATAAAAAGATAAAAAATACATTACAATGTAATTTGTGAAGAAAACAGGTAAGTAAACTGGTCCCTTTCAATAAAAGTTAAAAAATACTATTTATTAAAGTATAATATATACATACAATATATAAAAGATACTATTAAATATACAGAATTAATACAATATTATCATACTAAAATATAATTATCAAAAAAAATTATTACTAAAAAGTAGTTTGGATTAAATATTAAGTGTTTTATATATAAAAAAAAGAAATTCTTTTATCATCTATAATTAATAAAATTAATATTTTTATCATCTATTTCTTTAACGAAAGAATATCTTACTAATGTAATTGTAAAATAGACGGAGAGAAAACCTACTCTTTACTTCATATCTTAAGAAACATCAATCGTATTCTCAAACTTTTCCTTTACTTTAAAAAATACTAAAACGTCTCTATACATATACACAGCAAGTATCTTATAGTTTTCTATTACAGAATGTAGAATATATAATAAAAAATATGCTATAGAAGTAGATTGTTGTATAATTTATCAATATTTTTTAAAAATGTATTAGACCATGACATAGTTAGATAGTAAGAAATTATTATACACTCAATGTACAGATTGATTATACAATCTGTGCAATTTTTTTTTCTTAAGATATGTGAAAATTTTAATACTTTCGATAAAATGTATAGAATTGGATATATTGTAGCATAACTTTTACTATAAAAAATTGTGAATTTATAATAACATTAAATTCTTTATTTTGAGTCAATTTTCATCAATTGCAATCCGTAAAACATTTTACATAACGCATAAGTTTGCTTAAATAAATGTTCCTTTACTTTGTTTATAATTTGTTTATAAATTTATTCTAAAGTCAGAAAACAATTCATTCATTTATTACAAATTATTATATTCATTACCTCTCAATAATCTTTTAAGTGTTCCATAAAAATAACATAATGAATTATTGATTTTACTTTACTAATTAATAAAAGATCTTATTAGAAATAAATTTATTTTATAAATTTTTTAATCTTATTTGATAAATAAAGAAAGTTAGATTTTCCGTTTTATATTTGCACTTTATTTTAATTTTAAGATACAGCTAATTTTTTTGTTTTTTCTATTAGATTAATTACGCTTACTACATTATTATTGACTAGAAATATACATATTATTTAGAAGAATTTCAAGAAGCGATTAATTATATTCGTTGCGTCGTTGTTTATATGGAGATCTTTCAAAATACTTTATATATTTTTTTTGTACATTGAAAATGACCTGATCGGAGTCGAAACGTTTGTTTAGTTATTTTGTATATCATTATTTTTTTATTTAAATTTCTTCGTTTTCACTAATTGGCTCTTTTGCCCTCATTTTATTTATATTATTATATACACATAGAGCCTTATAATTACTTTTATTTTAGATTTTCCTGACTTGAAATTTAACGGAAAAAATTTATAATAAAAATATTTAATTAGTTAATTGTTAGCGGAACAATATAAATGTAACGCTCCATGCTCTTTTCGCAATATTACTATGCAAGTGAAAATCGAGTAGAAACCGGAACGGTGCTCTGGCAATCTCATTGCGATGTTAGTATGATATGTATGGCCATGATAAACTATATACTATATGTATGTACAGTATATATATACATTGTACGTACTTACAAAATAGTATGTATTTTCAGTGCGTAAATGCGTTAAAAATAAAATAAAATACGTATTTCGTGTTTTTCAAAAACACGAAATACGTAGAAAAAAGCAAAATAATAATAAAACAATTAATATACATTAAACTATTAATAGGAAAAAATAAATATTAAATAATAGAAATAAATAGATAATAAATAATTTAAAATATAATATATAATAGAATATTATTTTTTTTATTTATTAATACTTTTATTTATAAAGTATTTAATTAAATGTAAATAAATATGATTATGCAAAATGCAATAAGTAATTTAAAAAGACGTTTTTTTACATAGCTAACAAAAACGGAATTTTTAGAATTTAGATTTGCTAATAGTAAAAACAAGTGCGTCGTGAATATTGACTACGTCAAGGCGATCTTCTTTTTAGATCTCTCTTACTTGTCGGTCATTTTTTCTTCGGATAATGATCGTAATGTAGTTTGCAGATGTTTTCTGTTCAATATTTTCTATTTACATATATCTCCTGCACCACATTAAAAATTTTAAACATAAATGCACAAATTAATAAATCTGTTAAAAATTTTACAAACATTGTATTACATATAAGCAATTTAGGTAAGATATAATTCAAATAATTTTCGTTAATTTTTATTGGAAAATGATTTTATAATTTATTATCTTTTATTATGTCTCTTTATATTTTTAAATTGTCTTTATTATTTATTAAAATTTTAAATATCCTAATGCTATTTGTCGAAGATAAAATCAGTCCATACATAAGATGAGATTTTATTTACATGATAAAAAGTACACACAAATGAGCTTTGAACCAACTCTGTATTGATATTCCGAGAAGGTACACGTGATAGCGCGTATAGCTTCGTTCAATATTTGATAATATGTCTTTATACTTGACGATATGTACACGAAATATACATGGTGTCCGCAATATAAATATATGATCACGATTTGATTCGTATTTGTAAATCACAATTACAGTAAATATAATAATTACGACAAAAAATTAATCCTTATTTATTGAATCATTAAATTTTACTACAGATTTTT